CACGGATCTCCCTTCCCACCTCGCCATGTCTTCTCCCAGGCGCTGCAGCTTCTCCCACACTTGCCTCCTCCGCTCCCCCCCAGACCTTCCCTCTGCTGACGGAGGGTTAAAGTCCTGCCTGTCCCCTTGAGGGATGGTGGCAGCATCCTTGTCTTCCACCCACAACCCCAGGCTCCGGGGCGAGCCGGTGGTCCTTCCCTCCTCATCAGCGCTGGCGCCTGCCTGGACCACGGGCTGAGTTTGACCCATCTCATCCCCGTGGCCGCCACCTCCCCTCAGCACATCCCCATCCCGTGCTTCGCACCCGACAATCACCTCATCCCAACCGTCTTCCCCAAGGTGTGGGACCGTGCTGCGGACGTTCACCGCTGTCACCAAGGCCACCTGCTCTTCCTGTTGGGCTTCCCCACCTCGGGTGGCTTTTTGGCAGTTCCCCGGCTCCTCTGGCAGCCCCGGTGCTTTCCCCTCCAGCTCGGCGCCTCTCTCGGCAGCCTGTGCCCGCATCCCGGCGGCTCTCCGGCTCTCCTTGGCTCCCTGGGGAGCCCGGCACTGCTTGCTCCCATCCTTCAACTGTGCCACGTGCCAGAGCAAGCGCAGGGCCCTGCTCAGCCGCTGGCCTTTACCGCAGCGCCGGATCCGGCAGAACGTGGCAAACTCCTCCTCCGGGTCCCCCACCGCCGGCTGCCAGGGGACGGCATCTTCCACCCGGGGCTTGGGACCGCTCTCCTGGATAAACATCCCCAAATCCGCCGCTTGCGAGGCCGGTGGTGAGGGGAGACCCCCTTTCCGCTTGTCCTTCCTGCTCCAGAAACAGGCCATCGCCCCGAAAACCAGGAAGGAAACTGGGTGTCACCCCGCCGGCCCCTTGCCTTCGCCTCCCACCACCGCGGCACGGGGAGCAAGGGATGTCCGTCTGTGCCAGCACCGGCAGGAGCAGCAGCAAAAGGGTTACAAGGCTGCTCTGTGCCTGGGGAGGAAGAGGAAGGTTGGTCAGGCCTCTCTCAGGGGGAGGATGGCGGCAAGGTCACAGCTGAGATGGCGCCTGCTCCGGAGATGGCGCCTGCTCTGGAGACGTCCCTTCTTCCACGTGCGGTGGGGCTGCGGGGAGCAGAGCGGGGTGTGAAGCCCTTGGAAAGGGGGGGGAGCAGGGGGCTGGGTGAAGCAGCAGCCCCCCACCCCCAGAGCCTGCACCCACCTTCCCCGCGGCCATCGCCGGCCCAGGCCAGATCCCACCCGGCCTGGGGCTCCTGAGGTGCGGATTGAGGCAGAGGGGAGAGACCCCCACACCAGCCCCGAACGCTCCGGGGAGAGCATGCACCCCACGTCCCACCCACGGCTCCGGGAGAACACGCACCCACGTGTCCCACCCACGGTCCCGGGAAGCCTTGCACCCCCGTGCACACGCGTGTCCCGCACACGGCCCCGGCAGAACATGCACCGACATGTCCCCCGTACAGTCCCGGGAGATCGTGCACCCCCGTGCACACGCGTGTCCCGCACACGGCCCCGGGAGCACACGCATCCCCGCTCCCCCACGCGTGTCCCGTACCTGGCACCCTCCCGAGCGGGCGCTGCAGCCGGGCTGGGGAGCGCTCCCGAGGCTCCGGTCCCGCGGGG